CTCACTAAAAATCGGCTCGCTGTATCCTGCATCCTTCCCATCGGTTTTCATTGACAGTTCATGGATGCATGAACTGTCAACTCTGTCAACTGGTGCTCAGAAAAGCATAGAGATTCTCAACTACCCACAGTCAAGAACTCCTGTTCCCCTTCCCTATCTCTAGACCATTGCTTCTGGAAGTGAGGTCCCTGGACAGTATCATTAGCATCATCTGGAAACTTGTTATCAATGTCTATTCTTTTTTAAAAATATATATTTTTTTATTGATTTTTTACAGAGAGAAAGGTAGAGGGATATAGAGTTAGAAACATCGATGAGAGAGAGACATCGATCAGCTGCCTCTTGCCTACTGGGGATGTGCCCACAACCAAGGTACATGTTCTTGACTGGAATGGAACCTGGGACCTTTTAGTCTGCAGACCGACGCTCTATCCACTGAGCCAAATCAGTTTCTGCCAATGCCCATTCTTGGTCCCCACCCCAGACCTTCTGAATCTCCAGAAGATAATGGTGCATGCTCAAGTTTGGGAATCATTGTTCTATCTGTCCAGGGAGAGATGCTAAAAGAGGAGCTTCACCTGCAAGGTTGATGCCCTATAAGGCCTTCCTTGTAAGTGCCATCTCAACTATATCTAAACTAGTAAAAATGTCACCAGAAATGGCCTCATCAGCAGTCTCATGTGATAAATGGGCCATCAATCCACTCAGCTTCCACTTTACTTTGGCTTTTCTTTTCCCACCCATGGCCAGACCCAGGTATATATCACTTCTCCCTGGTACAGACTCCCAGTTTTCACTCCATCCTGTCACCTCAGGGTGAGAGGGTTGTCAGCCAGGTTGCTGAAAAATATCTGCTAAGGCTTCCTGACACAAAGAGCTTCTGGGACTCTGGGAAGGTTCTAGTTTTACCAGCCCTGCCCATCTGGTGTTCCTAGGACTCAGGCATTTTTCAGGGCCCAGAATCTTGGTTTTCACCATGACATTTACAGAGCAACTAGCCTGCCTTTTGAAAAGCACCCAGGGCTTGGCGGACAGCAATGGGGTGGCTGGTCTCCAGCAATTGGCAAACAGTGTGGCACACTAAATGTCACTGCAGGCTTTGTTTGGTTTTAAATTGAAAAATGGCCAGAGTTATGAAAGCTTATAATTCTTGTCTAGAGGAACAAACATCCCTCTCTACCCCAGAAATGAGCAGCCTCCCCCTGTCTCAACTCATCCCCCTTCGCCACTTACACACTAACGGGCACCAAACAGCCATGGAGCCCATGACTAAGAGCATGTTTCCGGAACTTCTCTTGCTGTTGGCAAAGAAGGCAGCACCATTACTAATTCAAAGCAGGTCTGACCTACCTACGCATAGACCCCTATGCACATTTTCCCAGGATCCTCTATCCTTCCTTTTTGTTCTCTTCTTAAAAGGAACATTCATGTAGGGGTTTTTTGTTTGTTTGTTTTTTGTTTTTGTTTTGTATACAAACATCCATCACCTGCAGAATCCTAGTCTGAGTCTTACAACCAGAAGGACATTCAAGGGCATAGAGTCTAGACTCTGCTTTCAAAGTGATAAGTTCTTGTTCCTTATACACATGATGAGGTCCAGAGAGTAAGCAACCTGTCCAAAGTCTTACAGAGAGTAAGTGTAGAGCTCAGACTCCGGGCACCTGCCTCTTTGTCTCTCTTCCTCTGATCACCAGAGAGCAGCCCTGGGAACTTGAGGACAGCTCTTCATTCGCTCGTTCCTTTCCAGCCCAGCCTGGGACCGAATTTGGTGTCAGCGATATAGTTAATCCCAATGTGTCATCGTTTCTGTTGCTGTTCAGCCAACTCCCTTCTGCTAGTGCATTTCAGTCCTGGAGGGAGGATGCCCCACTCTCTATGCAAGTGTGAACATGCGAGCACCTGTCGGGTGATCTGGGAGGAACCAGCCCTCCTTTTCCATTTGCTAGTATTTAGGTCAAAAGTAGGCATGGTCTTGGATGGTTCATGATCTGAGTCTTATCCAACAGGCTTGACTGCCAAGGCCAGGCCCACAATGGCTGACTTCCTGGGACCAGAGGACTTGAATTCTAAAAGTGGCTGAGACTTTGGTTGTACCCCATTTGTCCCTACTTAGGCTTTTTGTTTTGTTTTGTTTGTTTTAATCCTGAGAGGAGGAAAAAAACAGGTCAAACAAAAAGTCCTCTGGTTAGCATGTAGAACCAGGGGTGACCCTAATAGGTCTATCTTCTCCAATCTTTCCAACTCTGGACCTCTCCACCTCAGCTTCCCACTGTTAGACCCACTTGGTACTAAGTAGGGTGATGTGTGAGCTGAGGTGAAGGGCCCTGACCTGGCCAAACAAGCTTTCCTGTGCCCCAGGCAAGATTCTTGTGTACAAAGGGCTCTGATTTTTATGCAGCAATTTTGTGGTTGCATCTATTGAACTCCTACTGTGTCTGTCCCCAAACCATTGCCAATGTTGTTATTTTCCCTTTGTCTTCCTCTCCAAATCCTACCCCACTCCTTTGTCTCCTTCAATCCTATTCTCCCTCAGTCCTTCCAACCGTACCCACCACCCAGCCTCAGATGCCCAGGGCTGCCTTTACTGCAAATGTCATGAGAAAGTGGCTGTGACAGAACCAGAAGAATAACCAAGCTAGCATGAGGCCCCTTCTCTCACCACTACCACCACCACCTGAGAGAGATGGGCAGAGACAGATAAAAGTTCATTTCACACGCCCTTCCCTCTAAAGGCATTTCCAGAGAATTTCTCTGCTGACAAAAGAATGAGTCAGGAAGATCCATAACTTCCCTTACAAATCTCCTGAGTGAAGGAGAATATGTCCAGGAAGCCACTTCTCATTTTAACCTAAACTTCAATGGCAGGCAAGTTTTATGGAAAGACCAGGCTGTCTTCTAGTTTTCCCCGATGTCCTTCAGCCATGTGCATGGTTCTCTCTTTAAAGTATAGCAGGGAGGAACTTATTTTAGCACTGGGGAAACTCAAGTTCATAAAATGTGGCTTCTGGCTCTTAAAATCAATGCCAGTCCATGTCAGAAGAACTGCCACTGGCATGCGGAGCAGTTTTTAAAATGTGTTCTGTGGCTGTAGACCTCTGTGCCAGTCCTTGCCACTCCGACATTGAAGTCAATGGCACCAACCAGTCCGTCATCAGGCTCCAAGACTGGACAGGAGGCATTTGGGTACAGCCCACAGAACATCAAAACTCTAATGCACCCTTAGCAAGGATTGATTAAAATCTCCTTATTGGGGACCACCTGGCTAGACTGGCCCACCTTTGTGAACATGCAGGGCATGTCCTACACTAGGAAAATGTCCTTCACTGAGAAAGGCGCTGGACAATGTGTGCAGTCAAGTTCAAGCTTCTCTTCGTGACCTTTCAGGCTGTCCATCTTGCTTGACTTTTGACACTTCCTGCCTCACACTTTGTGCTCCAACAATATTAAACTCATTGGTCCCCACAATGCCTCAGTGACTTTGTATGGGCTGCCCTCGTTGGAATGTCCTGTTTCCCCTTCCATCTATGTATATCTGGGCAACTTTTACCTACCAGTTGTGATTCAGCTCAACTATCACCACCATTATAAACTTATGGTCATAATTATGAATGTGGTTGCCTCCAAAACCAAGCAGCTCTAGGGTCAAATCTCTGTTCATTTCTAAGTCACATTACCACCCTAAACCTCAGCTTCCTCATCTACAATTTGGGAGTAATACCACCAAACTTTCAATTGTCAGAGGAAGATGTAAAGCACTCAGTGGAGTAGCTGGCACCTAGTGAGCACTCATATTCAGTAGCCATGCTTCTTGTTTCCTGATTTCTCCATTCTGCCTTCCCATCCTAGATTGGGATGGTGCCTTTATCATTATCCTTTTAATCTACTCTATTGAAGAGTAACTTACATATAATACATGTAAATTTTCAATGTATGGTTGGACAAATGTAGACATCTATATACACCTATGCATAGGGAACACTCTTTTACTCTTAAAGATTTCCTTGAGCTGCTTCCCAGTTAATCCTCTAGCCCAGTGGTTGGCAAACTGCAGCTCGCAAGCCACATGTGGCTCTTTGGCCCCTTGAGTGTGGCTCTTCCACAAAATACTACAGCTGGGCTAGTCTATTTTGAAGAAGTGGCATTAGAAGAAGTTTAAGTTTAAAAAATGTGGCTCTCAAAAGAAATTCCAATTGTTGTACTGTTGATATTTGGCTCTGTTGATTAATGAGTTTGCCAACCACTGCTCTAGTCCCTAACCCTGGGCTCAGGCAACCACTGATCTCTTTCTATTGCAAGGTATAATGCCTTTCATAAAGCATCATCTAAATGGAGTCATACAGTGTATACTCTTTTGTGCTTTATTCACTCAACATAATGGGTTGAGATCCTCTGCGTGTCACAGTATTTGGTTCCTTATTGCTAAGTTTCTAACCTTGTATTATAATTTTTATCTGATTCCTCCACTAGACTGTGAGGCTCTCAAAGATTCTATTCCCTCCTCCCCTTACCCCTTTGGTTCCCAAATCAGCACTCAGTAAATGTTAGAGGGAGTTGCAAAAAGGATAAGCTAAGCTCTTGGCTGCAACCTTGCATCTAGTTCACCCTTGGAGGCAGTATTCCCGTCCCTAGCAGAACCCCATGCACAAACACTTACAGCAGCCAGTCCACAGCCACCAGCAGGCTTATGTCTTCCGTTGGCAGGCCCACGGCTGTCAGAATGAGGAGCATGGTGACCAGCCCAGCACTGGGGATACTGGCTGCACCGACGCTTGCCAGTGTGGCCGTGAGGCTGTGAGGACAGAAAAGGTCAGGTCACAGGAAGAGAAAATGGCCTTGGCAAAATATTCTATGGCAGTTTTAAGCTTTCATGTTCCTAGCAATCATAAATTCTCTTTTCTTCCCAAGAAATAGAAAAATGTAGAGTTCCAAGACCCAGGAATTTGGGTCTATTTGGATTCTGCTTAAATGCAATGGAAACATATATATTCATGAATTGGAGCCTTATCCCCATCGTGATATTACAGTAGCCTAGTTATCACAGGCTAAAATAAAATAAGTGTGGCTCTAAAATCAGGTAATGAAATATTAAAGAAGAAAAACAAATCACTTTGATGCTCCCATAGGAACACACTGCATTCTGCTTACGCCTTTATGTCTCTTTGAGACTTCTGGACTACGTGGCAAGAATCTGAGAAGACCATTGCCAATGTTAACATGAGAACTCAGAATAGAAAATATCCAGACCCAGTGGACATCAGGGGAACAAATCAACAGATTCCAAATGACATTAAGCTTCAGATGCCTGGACAGTTCATCATGGAGTGGAAAATCCATCAGACAGAGGATGCCAACAAATGATAATGAAATAACGGAAGGTTTTTTTTGTTTTTTGTTTTTTTTGGAACCTTACCATTTGCTTTCCAAGCAATGCCAAGGGCACACCCAGCACCATTTTGAAGTTATCTCTGGAAGCGGGGTTCATCTAGGTTTCATGCTCCCTGTGGAAACACCAGGGGCCTCTGTGGTCCAGCAAAGGGCAGTGACTGTCTCCTCCTTTCTAGATGCTATTTATAAAATCTGTTTTTTCTAAATGGAAGGATGCTTCTGAAAATACAGATTCCCAACTTGCTTTTCTGGGTGCTTGAAAGAAAAAGGTGCTGATTTCTTTGCAGTCATAAAATTCTAGAGTTTCTAGAGGGCCCTGCCAGGCTCCTAAACTGGGTAACCAAGTCTAGACCATGAGTATAACCAAGCACAGAATCCTGGGGTCTTCTAGTTGGGAGGGACCTGAATTTATCTAATCTCACTATGAGGAAAGGAAAGTCCTGGGACATTTTGTGGTTAGCCTTATCTTTCCATATTATCCTCCTTCCACACTTAGGCCTGTTACAGTTAAGACATCTTCCCTTGGAGAGATCTACAAGACTCATCTGTGCTCTTTCCTGCCCTACCAATATGGTCTTGGTGTCAGGGTTTAGAGAACTCCATTTTCCCTGGATCCGTCTGGGTCACAGGGAGTAGCAATGTGAAGTGATCATCATTCAAGGTTCTGGAGTTGAACAACCTGGGTTCAAGTCCCAGCTCTGCCATTTATTCACCACATGACTTTAGGCAACTTAAACTCTTTGTGTTTTGAATTCCTTATCTGTGAAAAGGAGATAATAATGGGGTCTCATGCATGGGGTCCTCAGGAGCTAATAAATAAAAAGCACTTAGAAGATGCCATTGTAACCCACAGTAATGGTCCAATATTATTCTTGCTGAAAAATCTGCACAGGGTGAGGATGCTTTGTAATGAAAACTTCCCTTAAACCCCAAGAGCTGGAAGGTGGGAATTCTCAGCCACTTCCCTGACATGAATAAAGCACCAGGGAAGGGGAACTTCCCAAGTTCCAATGACCTTGGCCTCAGCCGTTTACTTTACAACCCCAGCTGCTTCTGTTATGAGTCACTCTTACACATGCCTTTGCACTATGGCCACATTGTTTAGTTACGGCTTGGTTGTGTGTGACAAATTTTACAAAGAGAATGCTTCCTGGCAGCTGGTCCCCCTCAGCTCCTCCACCCCAATTATGTCCTTATGGGCTGAGTGTCCATGCCATTCTAAGTCCTGCAGAAGCTCCCTGAGCAGTGATCTCTCCATTCCTTCATTCCTTTTCCTGTCCTTCCCCTCCCTGGCTCATGTCTCTAGGGCTAGTTCTTAGATGCTGTGCAAGGTACTGCACACACATTAGCAGAACCTCAAGATAGCTCTGCAATATTCATATGGTAGTACTTGCTTTCCGTAAGGAAATCATGGGTCAATGGATAGAGAAACGTAGAATCCCACAGTTCAAACATGGTCTGTTGGGATTTGAACACTTGCCTGATTCCAATGCCATTCTGTTCCTTGATTCCTCCCCACATTAAAAACTCTGAATTAATGAATCCCAACCACTTGGTCACTGGTCCATTCTCCCATCTCTATGATCTCATTTAATGGTGTGAACTCAATGGGCAGTGTGGTTGTCTTTAAGGCCAAGAAACTCCAGGGCCAGAAATCATCTTTGCTTGGCTCACTAAAAGAAGGGGCTTTACTAAGACACCCTTTTAATCTTTGAGTTTTAAAGCAAGGGAGCCTGGCAGTCTCACATGCAGTTAGGATATGATTTAAAAGACCTGATAGATAATCTGATCTGATACTTCCCTCACTATGTCGCTGTCATATTTTTCTTTCATGTTCTGGGAGTATTATATTTCATGTAGTATCAATGACAGTAATAATTCCGGTAGCTAACATTTATTGACAGGTGACTATGTACAAGGCACAATGCTCTCAACAACCCTAGACTATGTGATGATTGTTCCAATTATACAGATGGGAAAACTGAGCCTCCTCTATAGTGCTGCTATAAACTGAGTCATATCTCCCCAAAATCCATTTGTTAAAGCCCCACTCTCCAATGTGATGGACTTTGGGGGGTAATTAGGTCATGTGGGTGGAGCCCTCATGATGAAATTAGTGCCCTTATAAGAAGAAACTTAAGAGGTCAGCTATTTCTGTCCACACATGAAGAACAGACCATGTGAGCAAAAACAGTGAGAAGAAGGTCATATGCAAGTCAGGAAGAGGGCATTCATCAGGAGCTGAATTTTCCAGCAACTTGATCTTGAACTTCCAGACACAAGAACTATGAGAAATAAATTCTATTGTTTAGCCGTCTAGTCTATGGTATTTTATTCTAACTGCCTGAGCTGACTGGGTGGTTGTGAGAATTGGATAAATTAAGATAGACAAGTAGGTGTGATCTTTAAGTTTATGGAGAAGCCATGTGTTTTTAATTACCTCTTGAGAAAGTATTCTTTCTAAATTTTTTAAATGATACATATGGTAAAAATAGCTTTATTAAAAACAAAACTACTTGCTATTTATTTGTAATTAAATGTTTTATGTTGACTGAGGAATCTCTTCCTTGCAGTATTTCATCATCCATCACCACCTGAATGCTGAAGGGAGCATGTTTTAATGAAAGACAAACTAGATCCAGAGTCAGATAGCGTTGGCCCCAGACACAGCCCTGCTAGCTCATTACTAATGACGTAGCCTTGGACAGATGTCCAAGCCCCTCAAAGCCTGCACTTCCTCATCTATTAAACTAGCATAGGGAATAACTGCCTTGCGACATCACAGGACTGTTAAAATTCAAATAATATCAAGTTTCCAAAGCAATCTCATATGCCCAACACAAAACAGAAGGCATTGGTATGAGCTTGCTTCTCCCCTGCCACAATGTTTTCCCTCTGAGACAGCCAATCATTCCTCTCCTCTGTTATTTCCTTCATCATTCTCCTGCCAGAAGAACTGAAATTCAAGTGGCCCCTATCAAACCAAGTTAGTGTGGGAGAGGACAAGGTAAGAAGGTTGTTTCAGGGCTTCACCTCATCCACCTCACTCACCTCACAGTCACAATCTGGCCTCCATCCAAGACAACACCATTCATCTGGGCAATAAAGATGGCAGCCACTGCTTCATACAGGGCTGTGCCGTCCATGTTAATGGTTGCTCCAACTGGGAGGACGAATCTGGTCACACGCTTATCAATCCCCAGGTTATCTTCCAGGCAACGGAAGGTGACAGGCAAAGTTCCAGCACTGAGGGACAGAGAGAGAGAAGGAAGGGGAAAAGGAGGGAGAGGGAGAGGGAAGAGTTAGGTCCACTGTAGCGAAGCAGAACAAAGAAACTGGAATGCCACCACCACGTCTTTGTTCTTCTGTTTGAGTTGAGCAACGTGACATGCAAAAAAGCAGTGTCTGGAGCCAAATTCAAAACAAGAAATTTGAAGGCTCGAATTCACTCTTATTAACATGCTAATAGGCAGCAAAATATTTTCATTGGTTCAGGTTTTTGAGATCTACTCAGAGCTGCAAGTTCTCTTTTTTCCTTTGGTCACTATTTCCATCTTGGAAGCCTACATTAATTGGAATGGATGGAGGAAAAAAGGTCAGAAAAGAATCAGCTGTCAACTGTGAAATGGAATGAGGAATTATTGAATGACCCATAATTTCATGTTAGAGGCACTGATTCCAAGAAGATGACTATATGGGTTGCGTCCAGCCCCTGGGAACTGCCCTGAGCTGTGCCTGCTAATTTTGCAAAGGCTGGACAAACACATTCAGCACCATTCAGCCTGAACCCAGGCTCCTAACAACTCATGGGGGACCCTCACAGGCATTCCAACTCCCTGATAAATGGCCAACTCTACAGTCTCTGCAACGACATAGGGCAGAAAAGCATGTACTTTGTAGCTCATCAAAGACCCACTATGGAGTGACTTCATCCCCACTCCTCCCACACGTCATGGGATTTCATGACCACATGACCCAACTCTAAGGTCAGAATGCCTGACAAGGTCATGCATCTTCTAAAACAAGAGACCTGTAGGATAAGGTTTACTGAAGGCCAGGACATTGTTTCCATGTGAGTAGAAGTGCCTGGGAGGGTAGGACGTCATGAAAAGCAATGCAGAATACTTCAAGTGCCACTAGAGTGCTTTGTGGTCTATTCTATTATGTGTGTGTGTTGTTTTTTAAAAATATGTTTTTATTGATTTCAGAGGAAGGAAGAGGGGTAGAGAGATAGGAACATCAATGTTGAGAGAGAATCATTGATTGGCTGCCTCCTGCATGCCCCACACCCTGGGCATGTTTCCCCTCAGGGAATTGACCTGTAACCTCATGGTTCATAGGTTGATGCTCAGCCACTGAGCCATGTTGGCAGAGCCTATTCTCTTATTATTTATTTATTTTTTTTTTTTTGGTGTTTTTTCTCTCCTGCATTTACATCCTTAATCATGGTTCCTTCTTTTGCTATTTAGAATTAGGGCTCCAGCCAAGCTGCACAGTTGCCTGCTGAAGTCTCAGTTTCTCAGAGAATGGAAGAGGACTATCACCTTCAGAGAACCTACCTGAAATGCAGGTTCCTGGGCCCGCTCTGAACCAAGGAAGTGGAAGCTGTAAAACTCAGGTCACCTAAACCTGCATCTTATCAAACCACTGACCCACAAGCTACCAACACCAACCTAGAGAAGCCCGAGTCATCTGACTGGAACATCCTTTGTGAGTTCAGGTTAGAAGTCTGTCTCAGGCCCCTTCGTTGGCCTTAGGTAGGAAGAAGAAATAAACCCAGGGAGAGAAGTTGGGGTCTGGCTTCACTCACAGGTGGGGATATCATGGAACCTGATACCTCGCTTGCTGTCCCCACTGCTTTCATGAGAAGTTAGCATCTCTTTCTCACCTGCACCTTCCCCCTCCACCCTTTCCGGGACCCCTTCGAAAGGTCACCAGTCACCATGACTGGCCTGAAATTGCTGCCCAGTCATGGCTGGCGGCCAGGATGATCAATGGTGTGACTCTATGGACACTTTTAGGAGGACTGGAATATGTTAATTTGTATTATTTCATCCATGTTCCCACAATGGCATCCAAGGGGTCCTTCGGTAATTAAGCAGATTAAGGAAAATACTGATAAAGCATGAAGACATGCTCCCTTTCTATATGGGACAGGCTCTGTGCCTTAACAATCCATATATACCCAACCAAGTCAAACTGAGTCCTGAGCATTTTAACTCTTTCTGTCCTTCCACATCCAGACATTGTTTTTTGGGCTCTTGTCTCAATGGCTGATGACAGTCTTCAACTGTTGCCAATAATAACTATCAGATACTTGAGAGTTTTCCCCACAAGGTTAATTTTAACAGTGTGCACTGGAGTTGGAGGGAGGCAGAGAGTGTGTCCCAGGCCATTCCCCCTCCGTCCGCCTCCCTGACTGGCCTCTGTGCCCATTGAGAAAAGCAGGTCAGCCCCTTCCACATCCCCATTCAAACCAAGGTCCCAGGGGCGGAAGGATATTTAGCTGGCTGTCCTGTGGCTTTGTATTTTCCCCTCTGGCCATGAAGGCAAAGAGGCTTCTTAGTAGGTGACTCCTGTCACCTTGACTTAAAAAGTTTTTTCTCAAAAAAAAAAAAAAAATTCCACATCCACATTTTAACTGAAGATTAAAACCACACTGGTTTCTTTTTCTTTTTTTTAAATGAAATTCAGGGTAAGGAGGAGAAAAGGGTCACACATTTGTGTGGCTTTGTTCAAATAACCCAAACATTTGTCTGATTTAAAGACAAACACGCCTTTAAGATTGAGCTTGTCTTGTAAAGGTACTGGGTTAAATGTCTAGTCATTCAAAGAAAGGATAATTGTAATATTTTTGAAAAAGTCTAAAGACCAAAACCACAAATGTATGGGAACAAAACATAAAGTAAGGCTTTATAATCTTTTGTGGAGATGTTCCTAAGCAAAGCTGAAGTTCTAAATACTAAAGCAAAATACTGATCGCTCCGACACATGAATTAAAAACTTCTGTAGGCAGAAAGTGTTGTGAAATTTAAAGATAAATGTAAAGTAGAGGGAGACCTTATTTGTCACATTTGACACTGGTTCATATTCTGACACATGAAGAGAGTTGAAAAACAACCAGAAAAGGATGAATACCCCAACGGGAAATCAAGATCACAAACAATTCATAAGAGTGTTGAGCGGAGGGCGGGATGGTCAATAAGAACACAGAAAGATGCTTCCTCTCACTCGTAATCAAAGAAATGCAAGCCCAATGAGATCACTTTTCACAATAAGACTGGAAAATACTGAGGTCACTGATACCCGCTGGTGCGGTTGAGGAGGCAGTGAAAGGCAATCCTCTCACACCCATGTAGCGGGACTTCAACCAACACACTTTCCTGACTTGTAATCTGGCAATATGTGTTAAGCCACCAACGTGCTGATCATTGCACTCAGAAATCCCACTTCTAGAAATTTATCCTGAGAGGGTCCTCGGACAGCCTCGTGGAGATGTAGTTACAAGGATGCTTGTCACCATCCAGCTTAATGGACATGCTTTCAATGTACATCAAGGAGTGTGATGGGGGTGGTACATACAGAGCACTGTTATGTAGTTTTTTTTAATATATACTGGAGAGATCTATATTATAGGGTAGGTGTAATTTTTATGATGTGTTGACTAGTGAAAAATAGCAGTTTACATATCTATGTATAGTAAGAACCAGAAAGCTATGTAACTAACTGTAAAGATTTGCTAAAAGGTTACCTACCATCAATGATCACTGGTGGTGGGATCACTGGTGATTGTTAGATAGACGTGAGCGGAGCAAGGACGATGCTCCAGGGACAGAAACTCACCAGGGAAGAAAGCTCCAAATGTCTACTAAGGCACAAAACAGGGAAAACAAGAACCTTGCTTCCAGAGTAACCTATGCTCCCTGAGCATATCACTGGTCAGGCGGTTTAGATCCCTTGACCTTTTCTTCCCTAAAGATAACATTTAGGCCTCAGTTGTATTTTAGCTCCAGGCCCAGAAAAGTAGCAAAACTAGACACTGTGGCTGCCTCAGGATCAGCTGCATTGACTTATGATCCCCTGCCCTGATACTGACCAATCGGTGGAGACCTGGACCCTGAAAGACCACAGCTGGAAAGCTGGTGAATCTTCTATTGAGACACTCCCCTGAGACCTCCCCTAAGATTCCTACCTGCAAGAAAGAGATAAATATTCTCAGGACAAAGGACCCAGTTTGCGTTCTTCCTCCACGGAGCATGCCCATGCCATTCCCTTCTCCCTTCTCCTTCCCCCACAGGTATGTATCCCCTAACCTCTATGGGACTCCATAAAACTTGCAACCAGGGGAGCATTGGGCAGCGACAGCTTGTCCTGGGTTAACCCCATTAGCCTGTCTCCAAGTCCCCCTTTTCTCTGGCTTCTTAGTGAGCTAAAGCAGCCCAGCCCAGACTCTGCTGTTACTTCTTCTACGCTCTTCCTTGTTTCACTGTCCCAAGTATATTTTTGCTACAGTCATGACCCCAATGCCCTTTGGCTCAGTGCTGTGTAGCCCTTCCCTTTGGACAGCCTCATTCCTCTATCCCATTTTCTTTAAATAAATTTAATTTTTTCTTTATTCACCATCTGAGATGGCTATTTAGACTGCCTGTGCACTACCACTTTAACCTTTCAGTGATATTCATTGTCTTCTTCAAAAATTTATTTATTGTCTAAACTTTTTACAAGAAGCACATACCTTGCTCATAACCAGAAAGCAAAAATAAAAAACTCAACATAATTGTTTTTATGTTTGGAGGGGGAAAAAAAAGATTTACTTTTTCTCCAAAGAGAGAGGATCTTTATGGATAGAGATACATAGCCATAGGAAGTGTAAAGGCCCCCACAAAGAAAAAGAAAAATTTGAAGTGTTTCCTTTCACCTTAGAAAATGATACAGAATCTAGAACCCAGGATTGTGTAGATTTCAGGTTTTCCTGAAACCCCACATTCTACTAGTCTGAATCCTCATTGATTTGCAACATTGAAATACACTTTGGCTTCCAAGACAGTCACCACCATGTGCCTGTTAGGTCACTTAAGGAAAATCTGGCTGCCTGCTCAGTCGCCATGTCACGGAGCGGCCACCTCACTGGCAGCGTGGGGTCACGGGTTCTGCAACAAGGTCCTGCTGATGTGGCTGCAGAGATAATGCTGAGCCTCCATGCCACCTGTTTCATGACCTTAGTCTTAATTTGTGACCCAAGGAAATACAAACAGTGACTGCAGACAGGAAGAATAAATCACCAGGCATGTCTTATGTATCTGTGCCTGTTTGTATTGGTTAAATTTAGTCCAAGGTAATATTTTTTTTAAATTGTTTTCTCTGAGTATCTCTGGGTCCTCATTGGCTCCTGAGGTGGTTGAACTAGGTAGTGAAGGAGATTGTCAAGATAATGTCAAGCCTGATTTTCTCAAAATCAATTCAGCAGGAAGGTCAAAAACTGGACTGATTTCTGGTTTGTTTGAAAACTCTCACCCAGCATACCATTTATCCTCTAAGAGCTCATTCTCCTATTTTTGAAAAAATTATTCCAATAATCTGTATTGTATGATAGCATTTTTTTTTAAATCACAGGTATCAGAATTTCTTAAATAGAACAACACCCTGTTATACCCCTTTGAAGAACATTTAAAATAACTAAATGCTACATGTGGCAAGTTAGGCATTAAAGATTAACTAGAGGCACAATGCATAAATTTGTGCATGGGTGGGGTCCCTCAGCCTGGCTGGTGATTGGGGCCAATGGGGACAGGCAAGCCAAGGGTAGGGGAGAGACCTTGGGAGGTTGGCTGTGGGAGCACACTGACCATCAAGGAGCAGCTCCTGTATTGAGAATCTGTCTTCTGGTGGTCAGTGCATCATCATAGTGACCGGTTAACGGGTTGTAATGGTCGTTTAGGCTTTTATACATATAGATAGCATGCATCCATCTGATAAATTTCATGTGAAGTCATGTTTCCTATACAGTTTGCCTAGAAGCAGAAATGTTGATCAGAAAGCTCAGAAGTTCCTAGTAAGAGTCCAGAATACAAAGTGTTCACCTTTTTCAAAAAATATCTTACTAAGAAGTGAAAAGTGTTCTCATTGAACTTTGTGTTGGGAAGGATTTTGAAAACGAGGAAGTGGCAAAGAGGGTAAAATAGTGAGCAGAGAGAAAGAAAGGTGATTTCTGGGTTCTCTACCTGGAAGCGGTGCCCAGGGCAGTGATCCAAGCTTGGAAAATGCCAGCAAAAAAGGTGAAAGGGTTTTTCCTGGTCACTAGAAAATAAATCAAGGGGAGAAAGATGCCCCCATGGATGATAAGGCCCACAATCACCGTGACCATGTACATCCCCAGTTGCCGAGCAACCACTTCTAAGTCCTTGATGGCAATGATCTTCCCACAGATTAAGCAGGCAATACCCAGCGGGGAGTACCTGAAAAACAGAAAGGAAAATAAAACACTGATGAAATCATTATGGGATTCAGAACTTACATCTGGGCCTTCCTATGTTGCTGCACCCTGATGTCAACTTTGCATTTGGTCAGAGTTTTGCTGAAAAGGGGCCATGAGACTCAATAGATACCACACGTTACTTTAGACTAACTGCAGCATCTAAAATCTGGCCCATGGATTTGGTGGCTCCTGCTGATAAGAAATCCAAAAGCAAGCACCTTTGCTCAGGCAATGTTTTAGGAATAGTGGAGACAAGCTTTACCATCACTGAGGGAAGCACCAATCTTAACATTGAGAGGCCACAGATTACATCTTTGTGAGTCTTGTTTGACTTGTCTTTCCACAGCTCCTGCCTTGAAACTTGGGAACAAATTTTGAGTTTCTCAGAAAGTTCACTAGAGTACACAAACTTACAAATTATGAAATGGTGTATGTAAGTTTGCTTTGTTTTCACCTTGGAAGACAGGAAATCTATTTAAGAGGGAGAAAGAAAGGGGGGTGGGGAGGGCACAGAATGAGAAAATCATCTGAGTTAAACAGTACCTTGAGAGAAATGTGGTTTATCATTTGTAAGTCTGAAAGTATTCCTTTCCATACTGACTCTTGCAATAACACTGGCTCTCTACCAGAGCCCTCCACACACATCACCTCATTTAACTCTTACCACAATCCTAAAATGTAGGTATTGTTATTTCTATTTGGCAAATGAGGAAATTGAGGCTGGGCAAAGTTAGATAACCAGCCCAAGACCATGAAAGTAGAAAGAGGAGAACAATCTCAGATCTGTAAACCTGCATGACTAGGGTTTTTCCCCCCTTACCAGGCCAAACCACTTCCCTTTAATGAGCAACTGTAGCTCTTTGTAGATAAGCAGATGATACACTCTGCACCAATATATCCCACATAAGCTCATTTTAACATCTTTATTATAATTATTACTTCATAGAACACTTGGGAGCAATTAATTGCTGTCCTCAATCTTCAGTAAGCTGATCATGTTCTCTCTCATTTCAAGTGTATTTGTCACATGTTTGGCGACATCTCATTTTTCTCGCCCAATTTGGGGCCGTTGGAGCTTGAACTTGCTCAGGCTGCAACACTGTCTGACTGAAATGAAAATGTTTGTGGGAACGATGCAAAGTTATTAAGAATTATGAGAGCAAGCTGTAACCAGTTTGGCTCAGTGGATAGAGCGTCGGCCTGCGGACTGAAAGGTCCCAGGTTCCATTCTGGTCAAGGGCATGTACCTTGGCTGCGGGCACATCCCCAGTGGAAGGTGCGCAGGAGGCAGCTGATTGATGTTTCTCTCTCATCTATGTTTCTAGCTCTCTATCCGTCTCCCTTCCTCTCTGTAAAAAAAAAAAAAAAAAAAAATCAGTAAAATATATATTTTTTAAATGAGAGCAAGTCTCTGAGGAAAATGAAATCTTGGGCTGGGCTCCCAACTGGAGTAAGGGAGAGAGCACCTATGCCAGATTTGGGATGTTGGTGTGTTTTTTTTTTTTTTGTTTTTGTTTGTTTGTTTGTTTTTGTAACTGTGCCTGGAGCAAGCCCTTCCCAGGCTACAGGAAAGCTGTGAGGAGCAGAAGAGAGTCAGATACACAATCACATAAAACATGGAGCTCATCCAGCCACTTGCCAGCTGCATGACCTTGCTCAGTGACTTGTTCCTATTTTACAGATATGCCAGTCAAGGCTTAGAGAGACCCCGCCTACCTCCAGGGGTTGCTGAGAGGATTACATTGTGAATATGCACATGTAGGTGCTGTCAACCAGCTTCCCCCATCCCTGCCAGCACAGGAACCTTTATATGTTCTGTTTCCCTTAAAACACCTGTGTCCTCTCCTCACCCATGCTTACTGAGTTAAGTCTGAGTTACTGGTGCTTTCTAAAACATCTCACAAGCTACTGTCACCCAAGTGTGGATTTTCCTTTTTTGTTTGTTTGTTTTTTAATATATTTTTATTGATTTCGGAGAGGAAGGGAGAAGGAGAGATAAAAACATCCTTGATGAGAGAGAATCATTGATCGGCTGGACCTGCAAGTCCCCCACTGGGGATTGAGCCCACAACCCAGGCATGTGCCCTTGTTTGGAATCGAACCTGGAACTTTTCAGTTCACAGGCCAACGCTCTAGCCACTGAGCCAAACCCGCTAGTCAAGTGTGGATATTTTTATAAGCAAAATATTTTTTCAAGAGGAATCTTCTCCTGAAAGAGGCAAGTTGTAGCTGAATGAATTCGTTAGGACATTAGCATAGCAACTGCCCTCCTCCCTGTGGAGCTGCTGAAGATAACCGCACTTCTCCTTTCCCTGGGGTGGAGACTGGCCATGTGTAGGGGCTGCTTCCACAGGCATCAGGAGGTCATGTCTTTAAACCCTGGCTTTCCCTCCATTTTACATGCTTCTGCCGTGCCTGTGGTCATATCGGCTCACAGATCAGCGGGGGAATCTCGGGGGCCAGCTCCTTGTTCCCTGAGATTTTAAGTAACTGAGCAAAAGGAACCTTTGCATAAAGCCAGCAAGCATTTATCTTCATAAGCCAAGAGGTTAATTCTTTTTTAAAAAAAATATATTTTATTGATTTTTTACAGAGAGGAAGGGAGAGGGATAGAGAGCTAGAAACGTTGATGAGAGAGAAACATCGACCAGCTGCCTCCTGCACACCCCCCACCAGGGATGTGCCTGCAACCAATGTACATGCCCTTGACTGGAATCGAACCTGGGACCTTTCAGTCCGCAGACTAACGCTCTACCACTGAGCCAAACCGGTTTCGGCATAAGCCAAGAGGTTAATTCTTTCCAAAGCACCCATCACCTTTTAAAGATGTCTCTCTCTCTCTCTCTCTCTCTCTCTCTCTCTCTCTCTCTCTCTCTCACACACACACACACACACACACACACACACACACACACACACACACTGTTTAGGATGCCATTCAATTTTTCTTCTCTTTGGGGACAATTTGTAGACTGGAGAGAAAATGGTTTCAAGGTTCTTTGCCAAGCAAGACCAGCTACAGAGTCCCCTGGAGAAGACACCTGAACCAGCGCCAAATGGATTAGAGAAGTAACAGGTTGCCTGGGAGCACTCAGCTCTCTGGGACAAACAGGAGTTCCCGCTATAAATGGAGTGTATTCAGAGGCCAGAAGGTAGGGTGTTAGGGGAAATAAATATGGCAAGCAGGGTTCTAGCTGACCCTATACCTTGATCTCTGGAACTAGAATGAGCGTTAATTAGGACAAGGAAAGAGTCTTTGTTTTATGACATATTTTAGGGCCATTACTTCCCTGCACCTGTTTTTAAAACACATAGCTGAAGCCCCCATGCAGAAGCTGAAGCTTTTCAGTTCTTGGGTTTCCATGTTAATGGATTATCTCATTGAAAATGACCCAGCATGGAAAAGAAAGGGCCCACTGGAAGCTTCTGAGCTGAAGCAAACAATCAAAGCCATAAACCAACGTGCATGAAGAATCTGATGGCTCCAGTGAGTGTTCTGAAGCCAAATGATGCCCAGTAATTGTTGGACCAGTTTTTAAATGAGGAGGAAATGACTACAGAGCTCACAGCCCTCAGATCGGTTGTTTCTTTAGCTTTGGGCACTGTTTTCAAAGTCAGCAATTCATCCAGGACTGGCCTGTCGAGTCTCTTCCTTACTGTTTCATCATCCATTCTTTCCTCTGTGCACTTTGTCCCTCAGTCCCTCCATCCTCAGGTTCCCACCAAGATGCCTTTCTTAGGGTCTGCTCTCTAGTCCACAAACACAAACTCATTCACAGCTCTTCACATGCCTAGAGCTCAGACTCTGCCTTCGTAGACACCTGCTTCAGAATCACCTGGCGTGCCTGGTAACAATATGGCTTCCCCAAGGCCATCACATACCTACTGAGTTAGAATTTCCCTGAGCTGGCCTTGGGACATTAACATTTTAAACAAGTTCCCAAGGTAATTCTGACATGCTTGGAAACCAGTGTTTCCAGGAATAAAATCTGATCTGCAACTGAGGTAATGCAGATATTTTTGGTTAGCCTTTGGAAACCATTTACTAAGCTTCAGTTTATTCAAGGCCTGTTTGGTCTAGCCCACTAAATTCACTCAGGACTTATGGGCACAGGACAGATGGTAGGCAGGACACTTGGAGTGGAGGTAAGTGGAGTTAAAACTTTTGGAGTTTTGGTTTCAGTGAATAAAAAAAATGTCTCAGTCTTGCCATAAAGCCACTCTGATTCTGTCCCAGACATTTGCAACAGCTTGTTGCAAATTCCATCCAGCTTGAAGTCAGACAGAAGCTGAGTTAGGTACGACTTCCACAAAGCTCCTATCACAACCTCTGTGTTTAGTTTTCTCACCTGGAAAATGGGGCTAACTAAAGTACCTATTCTTCTTAGGTATTATTGTAAAAAGTAAATTAGTTAATGCATGTAAAGTACTTGGGATAGCAGTAAGACTAGTTCAGGAATTTGGTGAGTCTTAGTATGGTTTAGTAATGATTATAGCTCGGTCGGTGTGGCTTAGTGGTTGATTGTCGACATATGAACCAGGAGGTCACAGTTTGATTCACATGCCCGGGTAGTAGGCTAGATCCCCAGTTGGGGGTGTGCAGGAGGCAGCTGATTCATGATTCTGTCATCATGGATGTTTTAATTTCTCTCTTTCTTTCTGAAATAAATAAAAATGTTAAAAATAATGATTATAATAATAATTATTATTATCTTCTCAGTAATAAATAGGTGCAATAAGTGATTGAAAGAGTAAAATTGCATATGGCAAGACATTAATTACTCTAGCTATAATTTAATAATAATCTCCTCAATGTTCAATTTGCTATTATTACTATTCTTACTAACACATTGAGAAGAATACACCAAGAACTCTATTTAAGCTTTGAGTGAGTCAGTTAAAGAGTGGTTGGCTCTTTTACCCAGAACCTTTTCACACTCTTTGTTATCAAATGCTGACAAGGCAGCTTAAGAATGAAAGAAATGTGCAGAATTGGCATCTCATATCTTGTAACACCCTCCTGACTGCCTAGATGAGATAACTAACAGCTGTCAGAAATCATCCCGTAGGTCTTATTCCTGACTCACAATTGCTCTACATCTCCTGGGATATGGTGCTACATCTTTAGGAGTGCTGATTTCAGTGAATAGGAAACTTCTTGATGCATACCACCCTCTATGTCTGGGGAGAAGAAAGGCTGCATTTTATCCCATGACTCATCTGATTTCCTAGAAGATTCCCTTTCTTTCAAGGGCTCAATGGAAATGACGTTGGTACAGATGAAGGAAGGAGCTTTCATACAACACCCACATCATTGGCATCACAAGACAGAGATCTGAACTGCATTTTAAGGGCAAGGATGCTCATTCTGCCATAAGGTCTAGGAAACAAGAGTTCTATTCTGCTTGATATAACACCATTTATTAAACTCCCTGTGAGCTCATAATAGATTGAAAAGATTTAAAAATTTTTTTACAGCATCATATCATGTGACTTTAAATCTTCACATGAAGGAAATATTCAGAAACTTAGTATTACTCGAAGAAGTGGCAGAATCAGTACAATAGACAACCACACAGTAAAACAATGATCTGAACAAGCCAGGTGTATTAAATGTGGTTCGTGAAATCACGAAGACTATCTTCACCATCTGAGAATCTGGGATCTTCAGCTAGCCCACTCAGTACTGAAGTATTCCTAAGAACTTAGCACTACAGGCACATCAGTGTGTTCCATTTGGTGGAGATTAAAAAATCAAGAATAGATTTTTGCCTTTGCAAGGTGGGAGCAGGGACCAAGGAAAGAAGAAGAAAGAAGGTAAAATTTCATGGAAAACCACAGAGAAGGGGAAGAGGACCAGAGGGAGGTTGGGGGCGAAGGTGGGTAGGCCTGGAACATGAAGAGATGAGGAGTTCATCACCCAGAATTCCTGTGGCCAATAGAACACAAATGTGGTTTGGTGTAATGTTTTGTTGTTTTGTTTTCTAGTCAGGCATACAGGACCATCATAAAAGTCTGAAACAAACGCATGTAAAAATCTGTCAGATACGGGACCACTAGAAGGTTCCAGCAACAGAAGATAGCACGGCTACCTTGGTGAAGGAGTGGACACTCATGATCTCCTGAGCTATCCCAAGACTTCAGAACACAGACCACAAGCACACATGAAATGAAGTGGAGACGTTATTGATTAGATCAGTGGTCGGCAAATTGCAGCTCAGGAGCCACATGCAGCTCTTTGGCCCCTTACGTGTGGCTCTTCCACAAAATACCACGGCCTGGATGAGTCTATTTATTTTATTTTATTATTTTTTTTATTTTTTAAATATATTTTATTGATTTTTTTTTTTTTTTACAGAGAGGAAGAGAGAGGGATAGAGAGTTAGAAACATCGATGAGAGAGAATCATCGATCAGCTGCCTCTTGCAAACCCCTACTGGGGATGTGCTCGCAACCAAGGTACATGCCCTTGACTGGAATCGAACCTGAGACCTTTCAGTCCGCAAGCCGACGCTCTATCCACTGAGCCAAACCTGTTTCGGCAAGGGTGAGTCTATTTTAAAGAAGTGGCGTTAGAAGAAGTTTAAGTTTAAAAAATTTGGCTCTCAAAACAAATTTCAATCATTGTACTGTTGATATTTGGCTCTGTTGACTTATGAGTTTGCCAACCACTGGCTTAGATGATTCAAAGGAAAGCACCCCACCCACTTTCCCATCAAGGATTTTTATAGCAATATGATGAATTCCATTTCTCCCTAGCTATATAATTTTAGCAAGTCCATTCACCCCAAAGAGCCTCAGTTTATTTTTTTGTAAAATGGGAATAATAACTCATCTTTGCAAGGTTGTTGGGATTACATTTGATAGGTACTAAGCACCTATCCTGGCTCTTGGATGATAAAAGAAAATCAATGAATGATAGCTTTTATTATTACCATCATCTTGATGTTAAAGAATCAAAATTTAGTGTGTTCAGGCACAGTTTTCTTTTCTGTATAACTAGGTGGCCAGATTCCTAAGAGTACTTACAGTTCTAATATATCTTCTGTAATTTCACTTTTGCTTGCATGGTCTGAGAGCTGCCTCTTTTTTCTTCTATTTGTGTCATGAGTAACTAGGTCAAAGATGCACTGCTTTCAGGCACCAGGATACTGGAGCAGTGGGTCATGCCAAATCCCTGATATCTTTGGCTTATTTTAATTTGTGAAACTGCTCAGCTTCAGTACTACTGATTGGTTTTTCCAGCTTATCTCTCTTTCTCTCTCTCTCCTCTTCCAGGACAGGAATCAGCAAACTCTTTATGGAAAGGGATAAACAGTAAATATTTCAGGTTTTGCAGGCTACACAGTGTTGATCAGAGCTACTCAGCTTTGCCATTTAGCACAATAACAACCCTAGACAATATGCAAATAATCAGGGGTGGCTGTGTGTCCATAGAACCTTATTTATGGCACCAAATGTCAATTCATATAATGTCTGTGCATTGTAGAATATTATTACTCTTGATTTCCCCTCTCCCCCAAGCAAAATAAATACACAAACCCCATTCTCAACTACCGTAGAAGGCCATCCAAAACAAATGGCATATAAAATTTGGCCCATGGGCTAGTTTTTCCATCCCATTTTTTAGAAGAAACTAAAATAAATAAATAGATAGATAGATAGATAGATAGATAAATAATTTTTAAAAAGATTTGCATCTCTTTCTCAAAATCCTTCCAGAGAGCTCTATGCTTGGTCCACACCCAACCCACTCTTTCCTGCTGGGAGGGCTCCCATATTTTCTGGGGACCCCAAGACCTCCCCCCCCTTCCCGACCACCACAATGAAGGAAAAACAAGCCCACTCACCACATGATCATGATCACTAACTTCATTACAATCTCATTCAAAATGCTGAAGAATTCCACCATCAGCTTGGCTTGCTCACCCATCTTTCCCATGGCGATGCCGAAAGCAATGAAAAACCCTATCAGACCTGTGGAAGGAATCACATTGCACAGAAGGACACAACATTATAAAGTCTGTGTTTCCTCTTGCTTGTTCTTTACCATCCCTGATGTATGAGGCCACATGCTCATGCCTGCTACCCACCCTGTGGATGAGGCATGAAGAGACAAAAGCATTAGATATCAGAAGCACTAGTCATACCTTTCCCCAATAATGATGGCTTTCCTCAACACTGTCCCTGAGCCAGTGTTAGCTCCTTAAAGAGAATGAATTCATTTTCATTCCAAATTAAAAAGTACTCTCTACTTTCTCCTCCTCACTTATGGTGTAATGTGTAAGCAGATTTTGTTCGTGCATAGATTAATGAAAGCAAGGTTTGTTGGGACTTGGGGATTAGCAATGCAGACTTGGGAGCCAATATGAGAATAACAGAGACCAATTAGCCAATAAAGCCTCTGCCAGGGTTATGTCTATATTGGTTTGCGGTTATCCCAAATTAATGCATTGCTGGTATGTTTCACTCTAGGAAAATCCTAAATATAACACTATTTTTCTACGGCTACTGTCTAACATAAGAAGGAAGAGGAACGTTGAGAAATCAAATGGAAAGCAAAGAGAAATCCAAAAATGGCTGGGAAACCCCAACTGACCTACTTTGCTGGGTTTAGTCTGTTACTTATTAATTCATGATAAGAATGCTTTTTAAAATTGTATTTTTTTCAGGATCTTAAAGACAGAATTTAGACTTTGTTACTTCCTAGCCCCTTCTCCCTTCTCCCTTCTCTTGCTATTATCAGTTGGCTTTAATCTAAGTCCAGCCCCACTTCAGCCTCCAGGGTCCATCTTAACATCCCCACCAGAGGATTTGAGAAGCTCCATCCGTGTCTCTTAATGTTAGCATCCAATTGCAGTAAGGCCTCCACCAACTCCTACATTCAACCTTAGGTCTTATTTCTGTGTTTGTTATTCCCTGTGCCTGAGTTTTCAGTGCTAGGAGCCCACACTATATTTTAGTTCTTTTAAGGCCTGGCTTTTCTCTCCTCACAACCGCCAGTCTGGCCTGGAGTCTCACTCTGATTGCGCTGGGACGGGGTGCACTACATGGCTCATGAAAGTCCCCCATGACTGCTTGGGACTGTCTGGATTTCTGATTGCCAATCACCATGTGCTCCCTCCCCCACTTCCTGGCCCAGTATTGCTCCTCATGGGGCTCCATGTCTGACAACTTGCAGGGACTATAAATCAATGTTGTTGTCTCCTTGGCTACAGGATCTTACTGCCCATCTGCTTTTCCTCTCTGATCTCTCTTCCCTCTCTCTTTCCTCTCTTCCCCTCTCTTCCCCTTTTTCCTCACCCCTAACCTGTGCCAGTTTGGCAGGCCTAACTTCCAGTCCCTCCTTCTCATACCAAGTTTCCTATGGTGTCCAGTTATATCAGGGAAATTGTAACATAATCTGATTCTTAGAGAGGAATTCTTTCTCTGAAACTCTGATTTCACCTTTTCCCTAGTCACCAAATCCACTTTCCATCCCACACCAAGCACATATCAAGCCAGATTACTCAGCTGCCCTTCACTGGATCCTCTCCGTCTTCAGCAAAAAGAATCCAGTACTTGCACTCAGGGTTGTTAATCCTCCACATTTGCTATTTCCCCTTTTCAACTCTTGGCCAAGAAGATTGACAAGTGGCTGACAAGGGAGTTTGTTGGCCATGAAGGCAAAGGCTCAATGAGAATTAGATCCAGGAGAGAGTGGCCTAACTCAGCAGCAATGTATGAAATCAGATCCAGGCTATCCTCAAGCCCTTCCCTTGAGCCCTGGGAGAGGCGTATGCGGGGTGCATAGTGAGAAGTAATCTGAACATTCTGGCCGAGAGCAGCTAGTATTACTGGGTTAATCCCACTTGGAAAATTGAAGAGAAAATGAATAGGTTCTCAAAATCCCAAAGAACTGGAATTTAAAAGTTACAGAGGAAACTGGCAGTATCCATGAGTATAAGAGAGAGAGGAGCCATCAATGAGCAGTGGCATGGCAAGGAGCTTAAGGCACTGGATTAAAGACGCATGCTTCCACAGGCAACGTAAGCAGGTGGGATTAGCGTGCAGCCCAGAAGTGCTCTGGGGGTTTCTGAGAAAGAAATGAATCTTAAAAAAAAAAAAAAAAAAAAAAAAAAAAAAGTGTGAGGCCAGAGCCAGGATTTTATCTTTATTTATTGCAATGCTTGATCCTTGGGACTTCCCTAAGCCAAAAACAAAACACACAGACATTCACTATCTCCGCCTTTGGAAAACCATGGAAAGAACCGTTATTTCAGCCATGATTTGTAAATGGGAAGTTTCTCAGCAGCCTATCATCCCTTGCCTTTCCAGAGCTTCAAAGTGCACTTAAAACCCCTGTCCAGCTCTCCATTTCCCTGTGGAAACACTGAGTCATTGCACTCACTGGCACGGGGTTGCTTCATTTGAACAAAGCCCTCTCAGACTCGGTCACTGGTATTGAGAGAGTAGTGAGTGGTGTTGAAACTCCCCAGTACAGTCAAAGGTTGGGAGACTCTGGAAACGACCTTGAAAGTCTTCTGAATGATTCACTCCAAAGCTCTGGAATTACTCATGGCTTCAACTTCCTCTGGCAAGACCAGGGAGCCATGTGGATTCCTGGGTTTGGGAAAGCCAGGGTAGTTGGGAAGGTTCTGAAACAGTCACAGATATCTGGGCAGTGGGAGAGTGAGCTACTCAGGGGTGGATGCTGAGGAAGTTTGCAAACCCTCCTTCTCAGAGGACTCTTCCACTCTCTCCTTGCTCCTTCCTCCTTCATCTCACACTGATGTCAACAGTGTTTATTTATCTTCCGTTGCCTGGCAACCAAATCAGCTTGTCACCACCCTCACTCCCCCTTACTCAACACTTGCCCAACCTGCTTCCTGCCAGGCAAAAAAAAAAAAAAAAAAAAAAAAAGAAAAGAAAAAATCCCTACTGAAATTTTTGCTTTTCAGTAGCTGGACAATCCCACTTCTTCCCCCCCTACCTCTTCAGACCATTCTGGATAAATAGGAGTAGGGTTATCAATTTTAAAATGAACAAACAGGATACCTAGTTAAAATTTGAATTTCAGATAAACAATAAATAAATAAAAATTAATTGATTTTAGAGAGAAAGGAAGGGAGAGGGAGAGAGAAACACTGACCCACTCCCTCCTGCATGTCCCCTACTGGGGATTGAGCCAGCAACCTAGGCATGTGCCCTGACTGGGGATATACAATGACCTTCTGGTGCATAGGACAACAGTCAAGCAACTGAGCCACACTGGCCAAGGCAAAAATAAGTATAATTTATTTTAATATCAGTATGTCCCATGTAATATTTGGGCCATACACTAAAAAAATATTTGTTGTTTATTTGAAATCCATGTTTAACTGGGCATTCTGTATTTTATCTGACAAGCCTATAAAGAGACAAGGGCATTCAATCTAGATGGCCAAGTGGAAGGACCACTGAGCTCTCCCTAAACAACTCTCCCTCAAATCCTTAGAAGTCTTGCTTGCATGGATCGATATACTTTTTCCACCCAGATTCCTTGTATCCCCCCCTTTGTGGCCAATGTCCCTCTTTCTTGTCTTGGAGACACCATTCTAATAGCAGATGGGGATTACGTAGGCAGTGGACCCTGGGGGAGTAAACTGAGCAAGCTGGAGTCGCTCACATTATGGGGAACTCTCTCCTCTGTGGAGAGTGTTTCCTTATTGAATTAGTTCTTCAGATCACCTTTAATAATGACAGTGGCTCACATGCATGAAGCACATGGCATGCACAATTGTGTTCTACAGGCACAATCTCATTGTATCTTCATAATGATCTGCAAGGGCAATGCCATCCCATTCCCACTTTACCAATGAAGCTTGAGAAGTGAGGCAACTGCCTATGGTCAGACAGCCCATGAGTGGTCTGTAAGGGACCCAAACCCAGTCTGTCCAACTACAGAGCCCAAGACCCGCTAGGATGGAATGTGAAGAAGGCTCTGGGCTAGGGGAAAGGGCTCATTTGAATTCCAGAAAGTTGAACAAGATAGACTCCTTGTGATAAACTTCTTTTGACACCAACACTTTATGTTCCTAATAGCGCTGCATTTGTTTATAGACTGTGAGAGCTGGAGTGGGCCATCCCCCATGCCTAGCACAGTACTGGTATGCAAGGCAACTCAAACAAAAATGCTTAAGAAATGAAAGAACTGGATGTGTAACTGCATGAAATGGAGAGTCAGAGAAAGTTACTTGTTAATGCCATGCAAAGTCAGGGATCGTGTCCAATGCATGTTTATCCTGTCTCTTTCCCCATCCCTGACCTCTACTCCTCATGCCCCCTCCTGGTTTTTCTGCTGCCATCTCCCTCTTCCTAATCCCTCTGCTATCAGCCCCAGCGGTCCTCCAACCACTCTCCTGCTCCACCTAGCGGACAGCAGGGCCATTGGTTTCCTGAGGAGGGAGCGAGGGCTGCTGGGCTGCTGAGATGCAGGAGAGGCTGGCCATTGTCTCTGAGACAGAGATGCCTTCCCCAGGGAGATGAACACCAGGTCTCCTACCTAAGACATTCATGCCGTCCTTGAACTCCAGACCCTTCTTGATCACCATCTTCATCTCCTCCGGTGCCTCTGTCGCAGTCTCAGTCAGCAGGGAGACCACAGCGGTGGTGACGTTGCTCTCTTCTTCTGACTCTGGGGCCTCCAGGACTTTCTTGGTCACTGTTTGAATCTGACGGAGTGAAAGAAAAACACAGAAAGATGAGGTCTGCTCTAAATGGTTACCAGAAGCCTGGCTGTTTACGAGTTTCAAAGTTCCCAGTTAGGTTAAAAACAATTAGGAAATGTCAAAACAAGGTTATGAAGATAAGGGAACATTTTATGGTTGTGCTTAACAGAGTGAGTTCTTTTTTTTTTTTTTTTTTTTTTTTTTTTTTTTTTACACACATTTGGTGGGATACGACTGTCCTCATCACATGATAATTACAGGGCTTATTACACACATTGGTACCATACTACAGACAGAAAGCTTTAGTAATGTTACATGAGCTTCAAGTGTGTGTGTGTGTTGGGAGTGGTGGTGGTGGTGGTGGTGGTGGTGTCTGATTCTTTTATTCCAGTGATTGTAGCTCCATCCCTCAGCACAAGGTCAAATGTCCTGCATGGACATTCTTCATAACTCTGAGATCCCATTGGATGACCCTCCCAGCCCCTCAGGATGGAACCTGGTCGAGAAGAGGAAGGCAGGGTCTTGAAGGGAGGTAGAGCAGCACCACGTGATCTGCCTGTTCCGCTCCTTCCTGTCTGGCTCCTGTGGGACAAAGTCTGCACAGACCAAGTCATGTGGGTCCACCCAGGTTCTGCTAGGATCTCCATCTGGGTGCCAGATGTGCCAGCTGCCAGCAGCCACCGCAGCAGGGGTCCTAGCTTGTATTTCAGATCTAGATGAGAAGTGGGGAGACATCTGCTCCCTCTAGATAGCGATGCCAAGCCTTACTCGATGTCCCCAAGCATCTCTGCGCAAATGGCCTCCCAAGAACCGTGCATGCTATTCCTCGATGTCTGTGGCAGCCGTCCTATTTTTAAAGGTGCCAGGCACCCTGTGTGCAGAGTGCTGTGAAAACCCACATTTGAGCCGAGAGAAACACTACCGCCAGGAGCATTAAAATAGAACCCCTGCTGGGGTCCTAGAATGTCAGCATCGGCACGTAGTAGTAGGCAACAGATGGCTGAGCCCTGAATAGCTATGGAAAAGGAAGCATGGAGAACTCAAGTGACTTGTCTGACCTCATAGAGTTATTGGCAGAGCTGAAACTTGAACTCCGATGGCCTGACCACCACTGAGTTCTTTCCACCGCATGTGCTGCATGATAAACTCTATGGGCCCAACCCAAGACTAGGCATTGCTTGTCTGAGAATTGAGCTGAAATAGGAGAGAACAAAGCATGGGGTTCTCCGAGGCGTGGCAGGGTGCTCTCTGCTAGCCTGGCCACATGCTCTTGCTCAGGGAGGGAGAAAGCCCAGACTGAGTGTGTGATGTGGGGAACAGGTAGGTGTAGGCCGCTGGGTCTGGGCAATGTTGGCATGAAGACAGAATTCAGGATTGCCCAGCTGGTGCGGCTCAGTGATCGAGCATCAACCTATGAACCAGAAGGTCATACCGATTCCCAGTCAGGACACATGTCCAGGTTGTGGGCTTGATCTCCAGTAGGAGGTATGCAGGAGGCAGCTGATCAATGATTCTCTATCATGGATGTTTCTATCTTTCCCTCTCCCTTCCTCTCTTAAATCAATTTTTTTTTTTAAAGAGAGAACTCCATGAGCATCCATGACATCAGAACCTTGCTCCCAGGATCAAAGGAGCCACAGGAGCCAACTGCAGACCTATCCTGAGATACTAAAGCTACAAGGCTTGACTTCAAAGCAAGTGACATCATCTTCTAAGCAGCTGGCTCAGGGGCCAGCACATTACACAGATAGAGTGCCAGTAAATACCCCTTCCTTAGCCTGTTTCCATCTGCACCCCATCCGGCTTCCCCAGCCTGGTATGGCTCTTGTTAGTATAGTTCCTTGTTATAAGTGGCACCAAAGCGGCATTGAGAGGAGGAGGACATATCCCAACCCAGAATAACTTAGGCTCCGCAGTGGTTGGAATTGCATTCGGGGGGCAGCTGGGAATACAGACTTTTCCTCTAAGTGACAGTTTGCTAAGGCCATTCTTCTGGGATCCCCTGGAAATGGCTGAAGGAAGCTTCTTGCTTCCAGTTGAGTTTCTACTGGAGCTGATGGAACTGAAATGTATTCCAACCTGAGCTGGCCTTGGGGCCAGACAGCAGGCTGGTGAGTGGGCACCACGCAGCTATTTCAGTTTGGTTCCACTCAGTGGAATCATCTGTTTTTAAGAATCACAGTTTTAAAATAGATGTGCCTATTGGCAGTTGGTAGAAGTATACATCGCTGGAAACTTTCGTAGGGCCTTTTTGCAATGCCCAGCAAATACAAAGTAGAAAAGAAAACTCTTTGGCAGAACATTTTTGCTTCTAGGAATTTACCCTTTAGAAATACCATGCAATCATGACAAAAGGAAGTAGGTGAGGGAGCAGGGGAAGAGAGAGAGAGGGAGATAGAGAATGCTAAAACACTTTTATTTTTTTTAAATAAACCTTTATTGTTCAGATTATTACAGATGTTTCTCTTTTGAAATGGGACAAAAATATTACACATATGGATGAGGACAGTGGCGGGGGTAAGGGCATGGGGTGAGGGAGGGAACCGGGTGGAGGGCAGCTATGCTGGAAAAAAACATCTGTAATAATCTAAAACACTTTTAAATGAAAAAACAAAGTGCAACACAATATGTATAATGCAGTAGCACTTGGGTGGAATTAAAATTTAAACATTAGCCCTGGCCAGTGTAGCTCAATAACAGAGCATCGGCCTGAGAACTGAAGGGTCTTAGATTTGATTTCTGGTCAAGGGCATGTACCTGGATTGCATTCCCCTCCCCCTCCGGGGTGGGTGTGGGAGACAACGAATGTGTCTCTCTCACACAGATCTCTCTCTCTCTCTCTCTCTCTCTCTCTCTCTCTCTCTCTCCCTCCTTCTCACTCTCTCTAAAAATCAATGGAAAAATTTCATTGGTGAGAATTAATAAAAAACAATTATATACAGATGCATTCTACACATACTCACACAAACTCAACATGAGTAGCTCTAAGGAAGGGAAGTGAAAACTTGAACTTTTACTTTATTTATATCTATACAATTTAAACTTTTCACAATTCTCATGTTTACTTCCACAGCTTTAAAAATACCCCATTCCCAGGTTTTGATATTGTCAAGCATATGCATTTTTAAACACACCACATGTGGGTTGGTTATATTGCCAATATCAAGTACCAGTGGGAACTCTAGAGGATTGTGGGCAAAGGTGATTAAAATGTGCCCTTGAATGATGCAGAGATGGAAATAAAAAAGAAAGAAAGGCAAAACAAACAAACACATACACATACACACACACACACACACACAACAAAAGAAGTGGTATTATGAGGTAACAAAAATACACATGACTCCAACTCCCAAATCCTTCCCCAGTTCACCTCACACACCCCTAAAACAGAGATAACCAAATGCTAGGAAAATTGCTCTCCAGATTTGATTCATTAAAACAGATTCTGTTAGCACCGGTGTAACTGGGCTTGTGGAGAGGGAAGAACAACAGAACATTGGCGTTACCTGTTGAAAACAGGCTTGGACAAGATTTTCAGGGAAGAGATTTCGAATGAGGTCCAGAAAGGCATCCAGGCTGGACACTTCGTCATTCTTCTTCCCAGGCCCCAGCTGCTTCTTAAGTTTGGGGTTCCCTGGGTGGATAGCCAAGACCAAGATGACACCCAGGACCGCAGCGATGATGGTGGTGGACATGTAATACACCATGGCTCTCGTGCCCAGGCGCCCACTGGCTTTAGCATCCAGGCCTGACAACCCTGGATTGGAAAGAAATCGGAAGGATTAATTCCATGATGTTTCTGAATACCTAGAACTTGGGGATGCAAAACCCATCTCTGCATACCTAGAATTTGGCTTCCTATTATTCAAATGCATCGATGCTAAATTAAACCTCTTTCTACTAGCTAGCTAGCTGGTCAACCTCACAGTTTGCAATTGTGTTTTGCAATTCTGTTTCCCATGTTTAATAGAACTGGGGAGAGCTAGAGACCTCTGGTCCAGAGTGTAAAAGCTGGTTGGTGACTACTTTTTATCCATCTGCAATGTTGAGTTCAAGTTGAATCAATTCAAGTTTTAATTCTAAGATGATGTCCTTCCCTCTGATTTGGTGTCAAAATATCCTTTCTTTTATGAAGGCATGGTGCTGGTGCATGCTAGTTTTTTCCTTGCCTTCTTTGTTGTTGTTGCTTTTAATGTCCTTATGCGGGAAATAAGAAACTGGTAGCCCTATGGTAAGCCTCAACATTTTTTTACTATGTTACTGGTCATTGAACTGGAGTCCGGAATACTGATGTAGCATAGCCCTTCTTCCAGTCTCGATCTTGTGTAGGGATTGAAGGTCACAGGCATGAGCCACCCCAAAAAGAGGGGTGCTTCATCTCTACTTGGGGTGGTTCTGTGACTACTGAAGGAAATCCCAGCAAGTCACAAAAATTCCAGCCTTCATGGGTATTTTCCAGTTGTTTCTTTAGTTTGTCTACTTCTCAGTTTCAGTTCCTGCTTTTACGATACAGGGAGAGTGCAATGGGGAGGAAGTCATTGATGTTAACTTTTTTGGACTAAACTGACCCACATATGACCCACTTCTTACAACCTACAGTCTCATTCTAGCTAATGGGAGCTAGGTTTCCTCTCCAGGTTGGCCAGTGTACAATCTGTTAAACAGGCATGCAGAATGTTTTGTCTGTTTTGGAAAGGGGCATTTAAGGTGAAAGAAAGCATGGCTCCACTCAATCTGGGCTGAATAAAATGATAAGATTTTTTGGAAACCGAATCCCAGCATTTCCAGTCTTGGGGCTCACTGGTCGACTGGCTATGAGACTAGAACAGCCTGGCATAGCCTCAGAATATCTTGGAATAACCAGCCCATTTCTTCACAAGATGGATAGTCCAGAGGGGCGAGTTTCTTAAGGTCACCCAGCCTGTTGGCACCTAAATATAGACCAAAGCCCAGGGTCTCACCCTTCATTCAGTGCTTAGTCTCTAAACAATAACAATATATGTACTGTTCTAGTAATATCATTTGGTAAGAAGGAGAGTACCCATATAAGTCCATGGAGAGAAAAAGATTCTTTCATATTTTCTTTTTCAGCTAAAACAAGTGACCCTGAATATACACAAGGGTAACTTTCTTCTGAAAAAGTATGACAGTTTTTATATCTAGTATTTCATTTATTTTAATATTTACTTCTTTCTATACACAGTTAAATAGTAAAGAAATGTTTCCTTTCCTATTTATTACCTTTATCAGCTTCTGAACAAACTATAATCTAGAAAATGAGAAAAGTATACATTAAAAATTGAAAGCACTACAGATACCATCATTTTTAACATAAGGCTGTTTTCTTTTTATCATTTGTTGCTGGACAGATGGATGGACTGACCAATAGAAGGCAAACTTATTTCAGGGTTGACTGTTTTAGAGACAGGAAAACAAAGGCTCTAAAGTGGAATGACACAGATGATCACATTCATCCCTCCAACTAAACTGATATTCAATGGTCAATCCAAAAGCCAGCGCCAGAGTAGGACCCACTTGGCCAGGCATCAGAGAAGGACTTACCTGTGATTAAACTGGAGATGATGAGAGGGAGGATGAGCATTTTTAGCATCCTCATGAGTATATCCCCTGGGAAGGCTATTAGCATAACCACATCAGGATGGATTGGAGATGCCAGGCGGAGAAGCCCTCCACTTACTGCCCCCAGGATGACACCTATAAAGAAAGGGTGAAATCTGGATTATTATTATTTTTTACTCTCATCAAATACATAGCTTTAAGAACTCATCTCAGTAACATTCCCCTTTCTCATACTTCTCTATTATCAGATGATGAATATTATGTAACAAAAATACCACTAGATAAGTGAAGCAGATGTTGATGAATAAGAGAATATTTTGTATCTCCAGCTATTCTAAAAGGCAGCTCTGGGAGAATCAAGGAGAGCATTCTCAAGGCTTTATGGGAAATATGTTATATCAACTTGACTCTAACATTTTTGAGGCCACCATCCACGTGTAGAGTCAGAGATTGTTAGTAGAAGCAATCCAAGTGCCAGACATTGCTTATCCTTTCAGCCCAGGCCTGGCCACATGACATGGGTTGAATGCATTTCTTTCCTTTTTTAACTGAATACCTGGTAAAGGGAGCATTTGATTGACTAAGCTGATGTCAGTTTCCTTTTTTCTTCTAATTCTTTTAATTTCCAATAATTATCCCGTGATACTTTTGACCTGGACTTCTATAGCCTCTTATAGATACGTTCAACTTGCTGATCTTATGGGAGACCAAGGAGGGTCTCTAAAGAAGTGTTAGTTGGTAGCAAACAATTGGGGCAGAGATGCTGGCAGGAGCCTTTCACTTTGTATATTCAGGGATTCCACAAGAAGAGCTTCAGATCTCTCCAGACAGGCAGCCAACATAAACAGTCCTTGTGCTAACCACCAGTCAGGTCATAGCACCACAGGCTGCGAGGGAAGGAGGGAAGGAAGGAAGGGATGGAGGTTCCAGGCTCTTTGGGCAATTATGTTAACTCCTGGCTTGCAAAGGGTGAGACATGGCCCCAAGCCTGATCTTCGCTTCTTCTCCAGGTGAAATCTGTACTTCTTCAAGCCCTATGATGAATGATTTGAGCTTTTGTGGAGGGTAACCCTTGGAAAACCCTACCAGGCCTGTGGTTTCTTTTTATGAAGTGAACTGAGCTATGGCATACTCCCACCCAAGATGACTGACTCAAAGCAGGAGCCATGGAATGAAGGGTGTGCATCTGTGTGTGGAGGTGCAGAGGTGAGCTGTTCATGGCTTCTGTGTGCTGCCCAAGCAAGAGCTGAAGAACAAGGGAGGGGCTAGGAAAGGAAATGGTGTGGTTGTCATTACAAGAAACTGCAATTTACCATAATTTCAATAAACCCTGGTTGAAAATCTAAGGCCAAAATTATATTAACAGTCACACATTAAAAACAAAACAAACAAACAAACAAACAAACAACAACTATGGCGTGGGTGAGGGCTGAAGCAGGGAAATAAGACTTTTGAGACTGACCAGGAGCAGATCAAGGCATCAGACAAGCCACCATGCTGCTGGCCTCAGTAGCTAATGTGCTGAATTAACGTAAATCAATGAGATGTTTGGAGTAGGTTAGACTTTGGATGCCATTTTAGTGATTGTCTCTGTCTTGATGTGGGTATTTCTCTCCATGCAGTAACTGACCACCTGTGTTAGAATCTTCTCAAAGGTTTGTTATGATACAGAGACCAGGGCTCACTCCAGGTGGCCCAAAGCAAAGTCTCCACAAGTAGGTGTCTCTGGGGACCTGTGTGTTGCCACCCTCGGGGGCAGTGTCTGTGCATACCGAGATCTTAGGACCACTAGGTTCCCTAAGAGCAAACACATGGCTAGGGCAGGTGAGGGGGATGGTGACACCACTGAGGCCTGGGCAAAGGGGGCCTTCACAGAGCGCTTGGAGGGCTGACTGCAGGAACCAGCTTCCCCACGGAGCCAGGAGAGAGCCAGGCAAGAGGGGCTGGTGGGGAGGCGCCTGCCACGTACCAAACACCGTCAGAGTGAGCAGCAGGTTCTTCCCCAGCTTGCTGCACAGCCGCAGCCCCAGGTTCCGGTGCTTGGGCGGCTCCTCCGAGCTGAGGTGGCTCTGGGGCATCCGCACTTCGACCTGCTTGGGCATGTTGTTGGCACTACAATAGAAGGGAAGGCTGTGGTTAGGGACCGCTGGGCACCTCCCTTAATCCATCGGAGGGGCACAGCTAAGAGGAGGAGTAATGGCCTCCCCCAGTCACACCTGGGAACCTGGAAACATTGGCAAGAAAATAAAAACAAAGGAAGCAGCTCTGGGTACCCTGAATTCCAGTTTACCCATAAGCAGGACACTAGATCCCACCCAATAGCTACCTGCCAGGTGTTTTTGTCCCAATTACCTGGGATCATCACAGCAAAGAAGGGGGTTTTCTAAGAACTGCCCACCCTGTAACTCTCAGAGGCAAGTGTCCCTGCCCCATTTGACAGAAAGTTACTTGCCCAGGGTCACAGGCTAAAAGAAATGGAGATCAAGCCCAGATATGTTCTTGGCACAAACACAGAAGTGAAAGCCAGGGTTAGAGACCGCTGGGCAGAAGGAAGGAGCTCTAAAATCTGAAGCTCTAAAGTTCATAGTGGCACAACCTAAGTCTCGCTAAATTAAAATGCCTCCAAGTTCAAGCCTTCCCTGTCCCAGACACAGAGAAGTCATACAGGATGGTAGTCCAAGTTTTATCTCTCTTTCAGAAAAGATGGATTATCCAGTTTTGTGTGTGTGTGTGGTTTTTTAACTTTAATCCTTTGTGGTTTTTCAAAGATCACGTGAATGACCAGGGCTCTGGTAAGCTGTCCAAGAGTCAATACAACTCAACGGCAAAGGCGTGTGGTGAGAAGAAGCATGTGACCACCTTCATCCCCGGATGCAGCCCAGCCCTTTTCCAGATAAACCCCAGTGAGCCAGGCTGTGCTGGAGTCTGCAATGGAGCCCTTGCCAGGAAGATGCGCTTACTGCCTCTTCTCCCAGCTTTGTCATTTCCCAGGCCAATAAGATTTAAGCTTGAGGAGTGATATACAGAGGCCAAATTTTGACTTTGACAACTTGGGACACTTTTGTTAGCTGCCATCTTGCAATCACCATCATTTCATAAAATAAAGGCTAGTCTTTAACACTTAGAAAGACAGGCTGAAGTCTGAATACATAACAGAGCCTTGTAAGAGGGGGTGCTAGCCTTACCCAGATAATTGCACCACAGACTGGAGAAAGCATCCTTCAGAACCAACAACCGTCTGCCGACCAGTGGCTTGCAATCACTGGTTATAATGGAAAGAGCATGGGTTTTACCATCAGAGAACCTGGGTTTCAGACCCGGGCTCCATTATCTGCTAGCTGTCCAGTGCGTAGAAACAAGAGCTTGCTACCAACCTTGTGGAAACAAACATGGTTGCATATGGCAAAGACCTGGCACAAGACACAGATGGCTATATTCTCCAGAGAATATGAAGAAGAGACACATAATACTATTGAAGTTCATGACAAAGGTGACATTTACCTCTGGGATCTACCCAGGTGCACCACCATTCCAACAAGACACCACGCTTAGCTTCTAGTCTGACTTAAGGCCAGGGACCCAAATACAACCGCATACTTACTTTTACATAACAGGATGCTTAATATATTTGGTAACAAAATGCTTTAAGATTTGGAATAAAGTCGCATGGTTTGGTAGCATACCCAGATGAAATGATTATTCAAAATATGAGTTTCTTAGTGTTCCTCAATGCCCTCATTTTCTACTTATTTAGTCAGTTTTTGGGCAACCTCTGACTTTCTGACATATGTGTGTGCTAATGATCTCTCAGACCATCTAAAGAAGAAAATAGGACACGACAGCTCACAGCAAGCATATGAGGTCCTTTCTGATCAGCGAGCAAAAATACCACTTCCTCTCAGCACCCAGGGAAACACAGAAAAGTTCTCGTTACAACACAGCAGGGGGAAATGATCAAAATGATCTTTTCAACATGGATAGACCATATTTTTTTATGTTTGCATTGGGATCTTTTAATATATTTAAACAGTTTTCCAGCCAGTAATCTGAAGCGCTTAACCAGAAAGCTGGCAACAGAGAATAGCAGTCATGTGTGTTCGGAAACGGTGACTGTGTTCCATTAGCCAGCCCTTGGCAAAACCTCGGGAGCCCCTCAAGGATGTCATCCTGCCTTCTGCTTCCAAGGAGTCCCTCCTGCCACTGAAGTTAGAGTCAGGTACACGGTTGGTACTGAAGTAAGACCAGCAAGATCCAATGATGGAATGAGAGTGCCAAGCATCAAAACAGTCACGACGAAGTAAAAACACACAAATGTTAGGGTAACGTACACACCCAACCCAGCAATGTGGCTGGATGCCTGTTGCACACAGTTCTTAGCTGCACACAACTGCTGCGTGTTTAATGGTGTGTTCCTTAGGCCATGACAAAATGTCCCCGAAGCCCTCAATCAAAACAGCCACATCAAAGTGGCAAAGTCAAAATGCTATAAACCCACAAGTATTTATTGAGAGAGTTAAATAACTGCTCCAGGCCCATTGAAGTTCCTAACTTCTGCAAATAGAAATATAATTTTGAAAGTACATCAAGGCTCCAGCTTGCATCTGGGGACACAGGGGGCCCCTGTGAACTCTTTGGAAAGGTTCAATACCAGTCTCACTAATCACTGCATCCCCAGAGGCCCTGTACTGGGGAAGATTATAAAATATAATGCCACATAACATTATATAACACAACATAGAGATGTATCTAAGCCTTATACATCTTCAGAAGAACAGATAGTTTTTAAAATGAGATTGCACACACATGCAGAGCTACATGAGTACTGGTTACTGAATATGCATAGCCATAATGGCAACAAGAAGAATACCTGTATTTATTGCATACTCTACACCAGACACTCTACTCGGTAACGGGTAAGGGGCTATCCTTGCTCTGAAGGAGCTCATAAGGAGAGATAGAAAGTGCATTGCTCCTTACTGGTCTGCTTCACATATGGGTTGCAATAAAGGTCTGTCCAGCATTGTGGGACCCCCTTTTCACGTCCTGTGTGGTTCAGGGTTCCGGTTCAGGGTTCAGGTTCTGGAGAAGGCTGCACACAAATGAAAGAGACTAGAAAAATATTAATTTGGGAAATGGGAGTCAGGCAGAAGCCCAACTCTAGCAGGAGGACTAAGCCTTCTTTCGCCTTGCCATCTCTTTTATTCAGGTTTGGGATACACCCATTGCCCCAAGGCAGGTAAATCCAGTAATAGGTAGATTATCTTATCAGTAAGGATTTACATTATTATTTGGTGGGGAAGTTGCCTCAGTTACCATTGTCTTAATTAGATAGGGAGTGGTTGGCTCAGCCCTTTCAGAACTTCAAGGTTGACCAGCTTTCCAAGTTCCTTGTCCACACTTTTCTAATTAGTGAGACAATGATCAATTTCTGGCACACGGCGCTATGGAAAATGGTTAGAACAGTAACTAACCTAGTGGTAGAGAAGAGGAAGAGTGTTCTAAGATGGTTTCCAGAAACGACTGATGCTGAGTTGAATCTTAACGCATTGATTGGATTTAATGTCTACATCCTCCACCAATCTGTGAACCTTGGGAGGGAGGACTGTGATCTTTTAACACCTGGTACCAAGTGCTTGATAAATGTTTGCTCAAAGCAATTAAGACCTGGAAAGCAGCTATGAAGGAAACCTTGCTCTCCCTGGAGCGAGGCTCTCAGTGAGCCTCTTACCCTTCCTGTCTTTGTTCCACACATTCCCACAGGGCACTTATTACAGGCCTCAAGCTGTTCTAGGAGCCCGAGATATCGCAATTCAACGAAACAGACAAAGCCCTAGCTCTCACGGTGTGTACGCTTTAGTAAAAGAACAAATACATGGATAAATGCATTTCAAGTGGAGACTACTGGGAAGACAGGACCTGTGGGAGGAAGGTGGAGGCTCCTGCATCCGGGGCCAAGGAAGGTATCAAGGATAAGGAGGCATCTGAACAGAAACCAGGAGCAAGTGAGGGGTCTCCTAGTTAACTGTGCAATGTGTCCAGAGCTTAGCAAATACATGGGATGCACACAGTTTGGAAATCTGTAGTATATTCAAACTAGAGCCCAAAGCTCCCACCAGATATGACTCCTGGTGTCCATGTACTGGTTTTGAGCACTGACTCAAATGAGTGACAAATTAGTCATGCCTGGCTCTATTACCACCATGAATATGATGGGCTTTCAACAATTCTCCCAGCTCCCAGAGGGAGAAAACCAGTTCCAGGGAGGGGAAAGCTAGACCTACAGGCGGGGATCTGAGGTCACAGTAGCCTGCAGTTTGCTTCCCTGGCGATGAACAGAAAGGGCAGGAGCTGGACTGGGTAAGTCCACTGGGTAAACACAATAATTATTTCAAATGAGCACACTTACCCCTTATGAATACTCCTTCCTACCACCTGTGGCTGTGCAGACAGATCCCAAAACTAAGCACCTGGAAAGCCCAGGGGTGGCTCGGTTAGACCAAATCCTCTAAGCCTGATGGGTTCCAACTCTGGGGACCACCTCCGTTTCCATTTGTGTGTCCTCTGAATGGAAGATTTTGCAATGCAATTCCTTAGCAATGGGAGTTTTCTGTGAGCTGACACTGTCAGGTCTCTCTCCATTGCTCGGCAAAGTAAGACCATGTGACGAGCCAGTTGTCTGGATAATTAGAAACTTGAATAATGAGCCTATAATTTTCTTCAACCATAATTTTTCCATTAAAAGATTTAAACAGCTGTTAGTTTTGCAGTGGCTGCCCTGTTGTTCTTTCTTATGCAAATCCACAGATCCTGCTTCAAGGACAAACTGAAAATGTTTTGTGTGTGTGTGTGTGACTCAAAAACAGGAACATATAATGGGGCTGGTGCTAAGTTTTAAACTATTCACAGAACCTGCTTTGTATTAGCATTTGATTTCCCAGGCTCTGCCAAGAGCCTCTAATAATAGGCTCATTAGATGTGGTGGCGGACTCAGATCTGCCTGCCTGCACATAGCAGCATCCTCTTATCTGGCATCAGATTCTTTTCTCCTCCTTCATGGTTCAGTGTGGTGCTAACAGAACATTTCCCAAGAAGCCTAAAAGCAATTGGTGTGT